ATCTGCATGAAACTGGGTGAACATAATCTAGGGACCAATATCTAAAGTTCCCTCTTGGCAAAAGTTGGAAAACTTACTAAAACTGAGCTTCTATAAGGCAATGAATATTGCGGAGGGCGTGGCTCATCACATAAAGGTGTATAACATCTCAAGGGTTTCACCCATCACCACGCAACTTTGTAGGCATATGACCACACATAATCTGAGGGGACCCCTCCATTATTGACCCCATCAAACATATGCCGAGGGAGGCTCTGGTGAAGTTTTAGAGTCCTCACATCACTTACAGAGATCCAAGGGGAGAGGGGGTAGCAACACAACTCGACCTAATGCAGGCTGACGGCGCCCCAGATTCAAACGTCCAAAAACACATGATTGAAACCACAAAATATCTCCATACTGCTCGTCCATAGTGATCCAAGTATCCTGAAGAATTGACATAAAAAGTTGTTTGGAAAAACGTCATTTGAACTCTGTTTTTAGCCTCATTGTAGCCTGTAGCTCTGACTGTCTCTCTGTGCTCCATGCTCACGTGTACGCACTTGCGTGCGAGACCAGCGAAAGCACGTGAACACACATGAAGGCGGTGCCCATGTCTCATGGTCTCGCGCAAGCACGCACACGTGAGCACTTTAAGCATGATCTTGGAGATTGTGGTCAAGTGTTATTAAAAGATTAGTCTCCAACACTGTGTAAAAGAAAGGTAATGTTTTCATTTAGTTTTTGTTCCTTATGTATTATATATTTTATACAACAATAAATCTTTTGTGAATCATCAATCGCAGAGTGAGACTACCTTTTTTTGTCTGCTGAATGTCTGGCTGAGGCCTTTTCATTTTATCAACGATTCAAATCAAGAGGTTTAACTTTGCTGTAGTGCTGCCTCACCTTTGGACCAATGTTACATTTATGCTCAGTTTGCTGATGCGTCCTTGTTTTGTGCATGTTAGTGGCTTTAGAGGTGGCAATGGTGACTGGTCAGTCGATCCATCGGTTTGGTCCAGACTGAAATATCTCAACATCTATGGGATGGACTGGACTGAAAAGGTTTACAGACATTTGGGGTCGTGGAGGATGAATCCTACTGGCTTTGATGATCACCTGACTTTTCCACGAGCTCCATCATCAAGTTAAAATTTTAATATGTCCAAAACAACTTGAAAAAATGTCCTCTCAAGAAAAGTTTTAAAAGTAAATTGTCCCCAAGACAACAGTAAGAATCATTTCTTCCTTTCATCTTCGGGTTCATAGTCATTCGCCTGCTCATGTACAGTTAAATGTACAGAGGAAGGAAGCCAGACCAGTTTTTAACAGGTCATATCTATCTAACACAACTGTACCAACCAGAGAGGACACACCCTGTCTTTACAGACCACATCCTCCTTTTTCAATGTAGGCATATTTTTAGAACTTACTGACACACAGTAATTCTCATGAATTTGATGTACCCGCTGATTTCACAGAGACATGAGGAGCAGCTATGAGTTTAACAGCAGCGAGTGGATTTATTGTCGTCCTTCTCTCTACAGGACATTTGTGGTCATAGAGGATGAATCCTACTGACTTTGATGATCACCTGACTTTCCCTGCAGCTCCATCATCAAGTCAAATTCTTATTTGTCCAGACTCTCACTCTCTGTGGATAAACTATATGTTAAGAAGTTAATGCATCATGTCCACAACAACACTAAGAATCATGTCTTCAATTTAACATGGGGATTTACAGCCAGTTGTCTGCTCTTGCATATTAATGATGAGAAGAGGAAGGAATTTAGGTCTCAGGGAAATGTCTCTCTGTGTGTCGATATCTATCTAACACAACTGCACCAACCAGAGAGGACACACCCTGTCTTTACAGACCACATCCTCCTTTTTCAATGACACACAGTATTTCACAGGAAGGTATTTTTTTTTTGTTAATAAAAATATTTGATGTATGTGATGTGATACTCACATCAGACATTTACTTCTATTTCTTTAGAGTTCTTTGCATGACGACCAACACAGAGCTGTTCGTCACACCAGCAGCATTTCTGCACATATACCTTAATATTATGAACTTCATAAAGTACTGGGCAGTCTTCTAAATAATAAATTAAAAAAACCCCCATCAAATTATGTATCCAAACTGCAAGCCTTCTTAACAGACATTTAGAAAACAGATGTTAGAGCGCCCCCCAACAAAGATGTTAAAATATAAGAAAAAAGGGCGGTACACATAAAGTCCCCAGCTGACTACTGGATGAAAACTTCATTAAAGCATTCTGAGTTTTGAAGTTTCCCTGACCCCAAAACAAGTTGGTACTATAAGATTATTTCAGTCAAGAACACTTCAGAAAAAGAAAACTTTATTTCCATTTGCAGTATTATATTTGGCGGCATGGCTCTGTTCTGGGGCCTCTCTGCTTTTCCTAGGCCTGCACAGAAAGCCTCTTCCACACGACTACGTGGAAAGCCTAAAGCCTAGTTCACATTACATGATTTTCACCCTGATTTTTCGTTGCAGAGACTATCGTAATCTTCTGAGTGTTCATACCTGGCGACGTGTTTCTGTCAGCGGGAGTCTCGCCAACTGCGTTACGACCTGTGTGTGCACACCACAAGATTTCTCCACTGTGCCCTCGACGACAGAGCCCCAGATAACGTGGTGATGTCACCAAACTTGGAGACGACACATCATAAAGATATGGATATTTTTCACACACACATGGAGTCACATGGAGACACACAACGTGCTCCCCGTGATCCTGTGGACGCCGCCATTGTTGTTGCTTGCCGGGACTGTCCCCCTCACATTTCTTCCGTCCTCCTGCGTGCTGACGTGGGACGTATCCTGCCTCTCATTGGCTGATGTTCTTTGTCAGTCGTGTCATACTTCTTCAGTTTTCTAGCATGCCAGATATCCAGTCCCAGTCTCAGACGAGTGGGCGACTTGCTCGTAGGCTTGTTCACACATGAGGACTCGTCGTGGCAGACTATCTGCCGACTCACCTTCGACTCAAGGTGGCTCTCAAGATCCTCTGCGGTGTCAAAATCACGGTGACAATTGTACAATGTGAACTCAGCTTAAGGCGGAGAGAGCAGCAGCAAAGACCCCCTGGGAACAGAACAGAGAAACGTCAGTGGCAAACAGACACAGCATGAAAAGGAGGAGCTGGGGTGGAGGCCGGTTGCAAAGCAGCTTGCAGAGGAAGCAGCAGCAGTAGTAGTAGTAGCAGAGTTTGGGCTTATGCTGGGTCATTTTTGATAACAGCCTAGTGATGCCAGTGTAGGTGGCCAGAATCAGGCCACGTTATTTGGCCCAGTTATGGAGCGTCCATCATCCCGTCTCTCAGTCAAGTCAAGCAACTGCACACACGGCCCAACTTATTTCTTCCACCGGGCTGACTTTGGGCCAATGCTGGGCCAGGTCATTTTTGGCAGCCAGAATCGGGCCAGTTCATTTGGACCAATTCTGGGGTGTCATTCATCCCGAGTGTCAGACAAGTGGGTCAAACGGACATGGCCCGACTTATTTCTTTTGGCGTGCAAAGTGTGGGTTGATGCTGGGCCAGCTCATTTTGCAAATGGAGAAAAAACCCCTCACATAATTAAGTATCATTATCAATTTATTTATTTAAATATTATATTATATTTTCTTTTTTGTGCTTTTGTATTTTTTATTTTGCTTTATGAGCGCATTAAGAGTAGAAACCCACCATCATTTATTTATTTATTTATTTATTTATTTATTTTTCTTTGTGTGTTTGGAACATTAATGGGTTCTGAATGTTAAGTTGTTTTCACTAGATATGTAAAGGTTAATTTGAGATAGCCCTATTTTCATTGTTTTTTCTGTATTTCATTTAAATTTTTTATTTTGTTGTATCTGTCATTTTGTGTCTGGTTTTTATCTTTGCTCAATGACTGGGAAACAAAGTAAAATATGGATTCTGTCGTCCTCTGCTGGTGAGTACTGTGTATTACAACATCAAAACAGGCTGATATTAAGCCTTGGCAATACACAGACAATATTCTGAAAGTCTTCTAATCTAATGTAGCCATCCGATGGGTGGACTTCAGTACGAAGGAGTAAAATTCAACAGAAACCAGGCGGATCATCTCAACTCCAACTCCAACAGGGCTCCAGGGTGAGCAGCTCTACACACAGGTGAAACTTTATTGTTGTTTAATTTATATAAAATACACGTTAAGTGTGAAACTGAAACTGAGTTTTAATACGTTTAAAACTGTCTGTAATTATTGGTATGAGGTTTGTTGGTGAGCATTTTATTACTTTGCTACAAACTCTTGTATTTTCTTAACTCCTTCACAGAGCAAGACATCAGCAATAAAGGATTAGCAGGTGTAGCAGTTAATAAAAGCCACTGAGTGTGACGACAACAAGGATCTGTGATCTGTATTTATGTTTTATTCTCAAAATCATGTTTCCATGGTGAAGCATCCTAACATGCAGCTAACATGCAGCTAACATGCAGCTTATGCAAAATATTTATCATGCCAACCTCCTTAACAGGAGAATATTAAGGTCCTGTAGCTGTCAACATGTTAATATGCTGACTCACGTGTGGTTTCGTTCCACGCGAGACTCGAGAACGTTCAGAGATGTTCTTGTTCTCAAGTCTTGCAAGTTGCCTAATATACAGTAAACACAGCAGGCCTGCAGGGCAGGCTAACTGCACGGTGAGAAATGATGCTATAAAAGTGGAGTAACATTATTTCAATTCTCACCATGCAGTTAGCCTGCCCTGCAGGCCTGCTGTGTTTATATGGCAACTCGCGAGACAAATAAAAGTGGAGTAAAGTCAATTTTGCATGCCGTGGCTTCAGGGCACTTGGATTGCGATGGACGAGCCGTTCTGATGTTTTCAAAAATGTGGGTTCCATGCACTTGAAGTGTATGGAAAAATCCAGCTAGCGGTTATCCTCCGATACCCCAAACGAGTTTTGTGGATTAAAAAACTACACTGGACTTCTTGTCGGCATGAGGGTCAGTAAGTACTGTCTGTATTTTCATTCTAAAGTGGCCATTTCCTTTAAATCCAACAGCAGTGTCAAACTTGGCCAGTGAGGTGATGGACCTCCTGTGGTTTTCTCCACAAATATTTTAAGCTTTACACAAGAGTAGCTGATATACATAAATATTGCAACAATGCTGGGGTCAAGCCAGTAAAAGTTGAATGCTGAGAAGGATTCAGAGTGTTGACTGAAAAGGAGTAAATGTGGTGGCTGGATAAATCAAATCGCTGTGGCGAGTCTGGTCAGAACTCAGCGTTTGCCTTTACAGATAGTCGTCCAATAATCAGGCCTTATTCCAGTTAAGAGTTACCCTGGAAATCCAGAGCTCTCGCGAGAACACATCTCCTATTCAAAGCGTAAAATAGGCCAACTGTTGGTAAAGAGTCGGAAAATTTTTGGAACTGGGCATGACGGATATTTGATGTGGGAAAGATGTAGCTTTCACAGTTTGGTTCATAGTTCAGGTTTGGTTAATATTTAGACACACCAGAAATATATTATATAGACACAAGAAATCACAGAGTGCAAGCAATTGCAGGCTGCAGACACTGGAAGGCGCAGAACAGACTCCCAGTTTATTATTAACAATAATAACAATATTAACAATTACAATTAACAATTAACAGTATTAGCAATAACAATTAAAACTGCAAGCAGCCTCTACAGGTATTCACAGCACATCTGCCCTGTCCAGATCAGGCCAATAATAGAGTAGGCTGCCTTCCCCCCCCCCCCCCCCCCCCCCCCCCCCCCCCCCCCCCCCCCCCCCCCCCCCCCCCCATCCGTCCGTAAAAAGATTTGACAAGCGTCTCCTTTTAAATGTGTTTGGTGCTAGCCTGTTTCTTAAATTCTACTCATCAGCCTAGTACGCTTGCAAAGCATACAGATACCCCCCATTCAATTTAAAGCATTACTGATTTGAGTAAAGGCGCGAGAGCAAATCTGGGTATATAAACGGTTGGTTCTTCAGTTGGCAGTTAGACCTAGAGCTACTGAAGACCAGCAAAATCACCATTTGTTTTCATTTATTTTTTCAGGTGGGTAAATGTCACCTAAGCACCTTCAGATTTTATCAGTAGTGTACTCTTAATAGATAACTTGTTTATATAGTTTGTATTGTGCTTCAATATATTGTTTGAGGGAACTGTAACGTAAGGTAACTGCAAACGAGTGGATGCAACCGTCACTAATGCTAGCGTAGTTCCTCAGCGGTTACGACTTTAATTTTGACAATCTAACCTGTGACAACACATTAGCTAAGGCTGTAAGGACTGTAACTGTTGGTAGCTGTTGTTGATTTTGTTTAAATATGNCTTTAATTTTGACAATCTAACCTGTGACAACACATTAGCTAAGGCTGTAAGGACTGTAACTGTTGGTAGCTGTTGTTGATTTTGTTTAAATATGTTCAGTTATAATTTTATGGGTTATTGTTTGTCGGACGATTGAGCTAAGCTAACTGACGCTAACGTCAGCTGTCACTTGTTGCCATAGCAACGGTAAACATTCACATATGGGCTAGGTGCAGAGTGCAGAATCAAGCTTCATTGTAAATATAGTTAAGACACATTGTATTTAACACAGGATGTGGGATTTTAGTAGTTAGTCAACTTTTAGAAAAGAGCTATTTACCGTCGCTCTGACGTCAAACAAGGGCGTCAGGTAATACTGCGGTTATCCCAGGTTATCCTATCTACACACAACCGCAGGCGCCGGAGTCTTCCAAAAACTTCACCCTGGACTCCGGTTTCAAAGAAACGCTGTTTTGTTCCATCAGCGTAGGCCCCGCCCATTAAGTGCAGTTGAACTTGCAAGCAAAACTTTAACTCGCATTAAAGAGGACTGATCTGCAAGCAAAAGTTTTTAACTTGCAAGCAAAGAGTACTGATTTATAAGCAAAATGATCACACGTTTTTACTTACAAACTTGATTTTCGATTGCAGTTCAAGAAATATGCTCTCAAAACAGTTTTATATGATTCCAACAAAAAGAGACAAAAATACCTCCATAATATAAACTCAAAGTCTCTAGCACGCTAATGTCAGCAGGGTTCAACGCTAAGGTTTTTTTTCAGTTGCCCGGTTGGGCAAGTTGGTCAGAGATCTACTTGCCCGAAGTCAGTTTTTACTTGCCCTATAAATTAATTTAAATTTAATTTAAAATTTAATTTAATCAAATAACAAAGACTGCAGTTATTTTTATGTTATGTAATCTTTAGTCACACTGTATTTATTAATTAAAACATATGTCATGTATTGTAGCTTAATTCCTACACAAAAATGACAGTGTCAGGGCTTAAAGTGAAAAATTTGTCAATTGTTCTCCGTCTATAATTTTGCGCCCTACTTGAGCCATGCCCACCTCTATTTATTTTTCACCCCTCTCTCCAGTTCTGCTGTATTAACACCGGGTTTAATATATTTTGCTTCCATCTCTCTGCCCTGCTCTACTCTACTTCAACGCTACTTAGCTCTCTCTCTACTCTACCAGTAGACTACCACATCCACCTGTTGCACAAAACGCACACAGCAGTGTTTCCCCTAGGATGGAGTTGTAGCAGCGGAGGTGAAGCACACGCATGAAAAATAATTTTCACATGCGTGAAACTTTTTTGTATGCTTGCAAAGCACAGCCTGCTGGGATGTTTCTGTGTATCTACTGGCACCAGAAGGGCTCTTTAGGACTAAGTACATACAGTACATGTGTGCACAGTATGAGCAGGTGAAATGTCTGTCTAGCTTACATATGAGGTGTCTCAAGATTTAGGAACATACAATGGTATTGAAAATAATAATGTAAAAAGTCACTTGACATGCTGTTGTTTTGTGCTATGACCTTTTTAAGTGTTGAGCCGCTCTAGCGTGCTCACCTGTGTGTGTGGCGGAACTCCGGCGTGCGCGATACAGATTACAGAGGAGAATTGTTAACGCGTGACCATGTAGAGACAGAAATGACACGATGACATAACACCATAAATAGTATATTGTTATGTTATTATATGAAGCGTCAGTCGCGCAAAATAATATCAATGGGGGCTGTGGGCAGGACATTGTTACACAGCTGTGCCTGTGACTTCAGGCAGAGAGACCGCTGCATCAGAGCCGAAGGAGCACGTTTTAAAATACATTTATTTTATCAATTAGTTATTAACTTTTACTATTTTAGCAACTTGCCCGATCGGGCAAGTGAGTTGTTAGTTTACATGCCCGACCGTGAGTTTTACTTGCCCCAGGTAATCGGGCAATCCTTATTGTTGAGCTCTGGTCAGCTGTGTAAACCAGCTTCACTTTCATTATACAGTAAAAGATGAGGGCCACATGTGAAAAACAAGAAAGAAGAAATAAAAAAGAATACGTACCTTTCTGTGTTTCCTGTCTCGGTGTTATCCGGCTCCAACTTTCCTCCAAACATAACTTTCTTCTTCTCGCTCACTCGTCTGTCTCTCTGGTGGAGGCTCAGCACTGCCCCTGGAGGCCTGGAGCACTTCCGTTGTCAGTGTATATGCAGCGTTTTGCCGTTGCATTTGTTTTCTCATATCCAGCACGTTTCTCTATTTGCAGTGCGTTTCTGTATATGCAGCGTTTTCCCTTTGCATTTGTTTTCTTATATGCAGTGTGTTTCTGTATTTGCATCACGTTTGTCCCTGTTGGCCACCGTACTGCTCAGAGCTCAGCTCAGAGAACAGCGGGATCTACCACTGCAAGTCTGAGAATATGTATGGAACGATTAACTCCCCAACTGTACAGATAGATGTCCAGTGTAAGTACAACATCTGCAAATCAGAAAATTAATCAAAGACAGAGTCTGAGCCACAGTGAAAGAACTTACTTTACGTCTGGTATCAAAATAAGGAGAAAATTGGTACAGGAACTACTTATTATTTGGCCGTCATTAATATTGCAGACACCTATTGCTGCACTGTAAAAGGATATGAGAATTTCCCCTCTCCTTCAGTGTGTAAGTTGATTAATTGCTTTATAGAGACAAACAGAAATAATGAATATTTACTTTTACATGTTTTCAACTACATTTACTATAGACTGTAGATTGTAGTATGAGTACATTTCAATATAAAATCGAACTGTATCCAAATCCCATTTATGAGTCTCGTCTTGTTGTCTCTTTCCATCAGTTAAAGTCTGACTCTGATTATGCCACCATCTCAGCCCTGAACACTGTCGATGCAGAACAGACACAAGACACAGAGGAGCAGGAAGACCTGGTGTGACGACACTGAAGTGGACACATTTACCTTCAACTCTAAACATTTATAGTGCCAGTTTTTATGTAGCAGCAGCAGGTGGGAGTCAGCAGCACAGGCTGTCAGCAGCAGCATGTTGCAGATTATGGAGCGTGGAAGCCTTATGTGTACCTGTG